GGGGAAAAAAAACCAGTTGTCTTTATTTTTCCACACAAAGGTTCGCTCTCCCGGCGGGCGTGAGCAGGAGCCGTCATTGTCGAGCGCAGATGTTTTCTGGCCGCGACCCCCCGCCCCCTCCCCATCCCGCCCTTGCCACGAGCAAACTAAAAGCGACGCAAAGCGCGGAGCAACTTGCCTGACAGACAGCAGGTCCATTTTGTACACGCAGAGAAGAACGCCGTGCGGCATGCCGGCACGGCCGAATAAGGTGAGTCACGGTAGCGGAAAGGGGCCGCGGGGCCCGCCGCCCCCTCCTGGGCGCACTACCGGTCCATCTCATCCAGCAGGGGCGTGGCATCTCCGGCGACGGACATGGGCGTGCTCTCGATCATGGGGCTGGGCGAAGGGCGCGGGGTCATCCTCTGAGCCTTCTTGCGACCTTCGGCCTCCTTCTCTTTCAGCCACTGCTCGGCCATCTTGCCCCAGTCCACCGCCGCCGCGGACCCGCCGCCGCCCCCGCTGCCGCTCGCTCTGCGGAGGGAGGGAGGGAGAGTTAGTCCGACGCCGGCAGTGAGCGGTGCCAAAAAGAAAACAAAGCATGGCTTTTCTGGCTTTGTCCAACATTGGGGGAAGCGGCGCGCGCCATTGTGCCACAACGCGCACGGAGCTCCACCGGAGTCACGAACAGGAAGACGAAGGGGCACAGAAAGTGGCCGACCCCAGAAATGGTTGTCGGCGCGTCACAAAGAGGAGCGAGCGCAGGCGTCGAAGGATCGCTTGCGCGCTTACGACGACTAAGCGGGCCGCCGCCCTTTGATGGTAAATGACGTCACGCGGACGGGTTGACGGGCGGCGACGGCGCCCGTCGCGGTGGGTCGCGGGCCACGAAACGCCGCCTCGTCGAGTTTCGCGGGAACTTTGGTCATTTGCCGCGCATAAAAGTGGCCGAAATTGTCAATCCGACTCACTTTGGCTGCTGCTGAGGCGTCCGGCCCCGCGACGACGACACGGACGAGGCCGGCGTGCCCGACGCGTGGCCGTGGTGACCGCCGTGGTGGGCGGACTGCGGGGTGGAGCCCGGGTACTGCGGCGTGCCCATCGTTTGCTGGCCGGGCGTGGCGAACGCGTAGTTGGGCGTCATCATGGGCGTGGCCATGGGCTGCTGGGGCGTGGCGAACACCTGCGTCGGCGGACGGACGGCGGGGGTGAACGTGAGCCGGCGCGCGCGCACGCAAAGACCCGGCGGGCGGGCGGGCGCACTGACGTGATAGGCCGAGGAGCTGCCTCCTCCCCCGGTGCTGCCCCCGTAGCCGTACTGGCTGGATCCCCACTGGGCGGGCGTGGTGTTGGGGTTCTGGTTCTGGCCCGTGACGGCGGCGATGGCGCTGAACATCTGCGAGGTCATGTTTCGCGGGAGCGCGTTGACGGCTCGCGTCAGGTCTGCGGAGAGAGGAGCGGCGGATGAGCCGCCGGCCCGGACGCGGGGGCGGGCAAAGCGGACGGCACTCACCGGCGATGTTGATGTTGGCGGGCGTGGCGTTGACGGAGGCGGGCGTGCGCGTGCGGCTGCTGCTGC